TGCCTTCAAGCTGAGAATTCAGAAAGACACTATCAGCTATACTACAGGTATGAAGCGAAAGACAATCAAACTGGCACTATGTGAGCGAGATGAGCACCTTCTTCAACAGGATCTGAAGGTCCAATGATAGCAGTTGAGTCAAGAAATTGAGGCGACCTCGATGGGGCATGGCGCTATTGCAAAAAATGCCATTTCATTTAGTTTTTTTATTATTATTATGGCATAACACAAGTGGAGAAGAACCCACACAACAACATCTTTGACTCCATGCACGCTACATTCTTCAAAGATTCGATCCAATGCAACCAGCATACTTTCTCCACCTTCCAGGCCGTAGCGTTTAACGTTAGGAAATTTGGCTCCTAGAAATTTATCGAAAGCCTCCGAGCGATAAAGAAGTTGCCAGTAGTGAAGTTTACAATCCTGGCTAATTGACATATCGTGTACCTTGGATTCTAATGTGTCAGACAGCCATTCTCGTTCCGATTTGTTCTGCCGAATTGTCGAGGATTCCGGATCCCTCCCCCAAAAAGTCAGTAGGCAAAACTTATGATTCTTGAGTGAATTGTGGAGCTTTACCGGTAAGTGCATGTATTCATAGGCGATTCGGCCACAGTACACTTCCTGGAGTCGATCGACGATTTCTCCAAGAGTACGTTGAAGTCCGCCTGGGGTCCTGGTCCCCATTCCGACCACTCCGTCCACCGCCCATAGCTTAGTTTCATCGCCCAGATGCTCTAACATTTCGCTCGGCAAGTCATGGGTAATATGATTGGAGTGTAAGCGGTCTTGTAAGAAAGACGACGACACTCCGAAACCATATCTTCTCGGGTCTAAAGCTGAGACCGATGGCCGTGGTGTCAGTGATAATGGATCCAATGTTGCCGATCGATGTGCGTGTCGCTTATTTGACCAAATGCAAGAGGATGGAACAAGCTCATGGTTAGATGTAGCTCTACGAACATCAAAGACGAAAACAATGAAGATGGAAACGCTTCAAATACTAACCCGGTAAGAGTCTACCAGCCTCACCAAGGACGCTTGAGAAGCTCGATTGTATAGTTGCTGAGGGGTGAAGTCGGGCAGCTGAAAAGATTCTGGACGCTGATAGCCTGCCAACAACACCGAGAAGTCAGAGTGAGCGGCATGGATGGACACTCTTGAGTCGTTTGTATCCGATACTAAGGAGATGGATGCTTACCCCAGACTGGCGGGTCGACTGCCGAGGAATGTTGAAAAGCTCGAGTGACGAGACGAAAACTTCCTCTCAAGAAAAGCTTAGGACGAACTCTGAGTTGCAAGGCCATTTTCCAATTTGGAAGGAAGATATCCAAAGAGCCCAGCAAATAGTCTTTATGTCTTGATGGTCTTGGAATCATACCACTTTGTAAATCTGGCGGGAACCTGTCAGCAAACCTTCATCATGTGGTCCACCGCGGGTGGGACACACAGCTCCGAGGTCTCCTGCGAGTCCGACTCCTATCAGACAGGCCGCTCCGAGGCCTCATCAGACCTCCCTATTGACACTGTCGGACTACTGTTTACAAAATCTTCGAGGACCCATAAATCTGCCTCTCCCTCCAGGGACCAATTTAGGAGAGGATTTAGTGAGACAAGTGTAAAGTCCAAGTAACTTGCCTGAGTTTTGGTGAATTGCTCACGGAAAACTCGGAAGCTTGAGTGGCCAAGGTAGTTAATTGTTCTTTCCTCTAGAGAGTTCATTATTCAACCAAATGCAGGCAACCGAGGTAGTTCTCTGCTGGTCTAAGTGTAATCCAAAATATATTTACGAACAACATAACCTCATATCGTAAATCATAAAAACTAGAACGGTCCAAGCCTCTTTCAAGAACACAACACATGCAAATGATTAACTTTGACTGGGATATGTCAATTGAATTGCATCAATTTTGGCAGCTCAATGTGCATGATCTGTTGTGAAGAATGGCTTTCCCAAACTCAGGAAAGCCCATTGGACTAAACTTTGAAACACTCTGATTTCCTTGTGTAGAGCAACTTTCCAAAGAATTTGGCAATTATGTCACTTGAAAAGTGTAACACCAATGTGGTTTGCTGGATCTAGGTTCTAGAGACTTGGATAAAAAATTGGGCTTCGGAATTTATCCAATGAAGTATAAATAGACAGCTGAATTGCTGATAAAATATGTTGGATGATATAGTGAGTTCCTGATACAATTTGTGAGATAAAAGTAATGCTGAGAATCCTTTAGATTATAGCAAAGAAGAAATCACCAAGGTCAGACTCTATTTGGATCTGGAAAAAGGGTTAGGGAAAGATTGTCTATATCTGGGAGAGGAACATATAAATGTCAACCACAGAGGTAATATCACCATGCCTGATATTCCCCAATTATTTACATTCTTCATCAAAAACCTCACCCTAATTCTGTAAATTCTTATTCTGCTGAATACAATAGAAATATCACCGAAAATTTTATTTACCTAGCACAAGTCTTTATCAGAGCCACTCTGCTCAATTTGCCCAGTTTACATAGGTTAAATATATTCTTTCAGAAGTTATACAAGCAATTTTTCCCAGCCAAATTGGCTGCCGCAAGGGGATAACCTTGCTGACAAAGGCATGTGAACCTGGCTATTATGTCTAGTTGTATTTAGTTTAGCCTAGTTTTTTCTGGACCTGAAAGGTTTTTCCAGGTTTTGTCTTATCGTTGTATATTCTGTCATTTTATTTCATCTATAGTCTACATATTGTATTTTAAATTTCAACATAAAATTAGAATAACTTAACCTCCAAAATATTTTCTTGAAGTATATATTCAATTATTTTGGAAGTTGTTATAAATTAGCAAAATATAACAACTCCCAGGATCCTTAATACATATCAATACACCAAGCCCCTAGAAATTCCCATGCTATAGAAATAAGGTATAGATTGACTCAATATAAATATTCTAATTCAATGAAACATCCTCTGGAATATTCCAGAACATTGTGTCATTGCACTGCACTATTGAAATATTGTACTGCCTTACTGACCCATTGCAGTTCCCTATGATATCATCCCATTGAGTACTCTGACTGATTGTTGAAATATTATTGTTTTTGCTCCTCAATCTTGTCTCTGTCTCTTTCCTCAAACATGTCACTCATTCATATTTAGACCCCTTTTGTGCTCAAACTGCCTGATTAGTCTTCTCACAACCACAACTTGGTCCTTTGTATTTATACTATTTATGCCATGTCCTCATGAGAGAATAAAATTCATCAGTCCTTACCACATTGATCCTCTTGTTGGCACTTAAGCCCCAACAAGAGAGCTCCCTGCAGTACTTAAGCCCCACTGATCGAGTTGCCGGTACTTCTCAGACTATTGTCTGCTCTTATATTATTTATAAATCCACTGTCACCCTGCCCAAAAATTCAACACTGATCCCTGTGCGCTTCATAATCCTCCTAGTACTTCCTAGGAGCGCTTCTGAGTCTCCCCTGAAGATATTTAAACACTTGAATATTTGGGTTTTGTTCCTGTGTCATCCCAGCCACCCAGAAAGCGCATTCAGAAAACTCCCCTGGAATGTCCACCAATATACCAGTAGGTTTATTGCCACTGTATATCCCCTTCCATCATCATCCACACTATAACTGCCTGCCTTGAATTCACCTTTAGTGACCTTCACAAGTCTGGAGGAGCAACCCCAGTTGTTAGACCTCCCTTGTGGGACTCTAGCAATCAAGGAAATGTCCTCACTTTGACCTTAAATATTCCCATTCTCTCTCAGCAGGAATAATCCAATGTGAAATCTGTATTCCCCTCCATGTTAAAGGTTGAGAAGAGCTTTTCAAGATTTAAATACTGGAGCTAATTTCCCCCTTATCAATTGTCCAGAAATCATCAAACTCCATCCAAAACCAACTCATCATCACTCCTAGAATAATTTTTTTTTCCTGTTTTCCAATATGTTAGTAGGATAGAGGCTGACAGTAAGTATGAGAGAAATTGTGTGGGGTAATCTGATTCTTGGGTAAATCTACATATTCAGCGAAATTATGAAAGTTCTCATTCTTGACCATCTGATGATGTGTTAAAATTGTTGAGTTTCTCAATTTCTGACCTAGAAGTTGTGGAGAAAAGAAAACAGATGGATTAAGATTTAGGGCAGAGACACTCCAGACCAGTTCACCAGATTGGCTCAAGTTGTGGAAAAAGGAGGAAGAGAAACAATAAGTTTGATTGCTTGAACTGGGCTATGTTTTAATAGACTGGAAATAATCCGGTCAAGATGTGGTTGGTAAAATGAATAAAACTAAATTTAAATCATAACAAATGAGAGATGAATTGATTCCAGATCAGACAGACTAGACAAAAAGATCTACATTATTTCTTGATCTAGATAAGCTGAATAAGAAAAACAAAAAATATCACAGACAGGAAGGGGTGTTAATTCTTCTTGATAGTTTAAATTCCAACAAAAATGATTCAATTTCAAGATGAACGTGGGAGGGGGCTTTGCCTCATATGGAATCCAAATATTGGAGGGTGATGTGAATGAACAGGAAATTTTCCACTTCTGCGTGTATATTCTTGTCCATGTTTGTCTGAGGGTTGGGGCCTGAAATCTGGATTGGTGTTTGGTGAGTAATCCTTTTTAGAGTGGTGATTGGACCTCCTTTAGATATGTGACATTGAGTCTCTTGATATCCAGTGGGAAATCCCATGTGATTTTCAGGGGTGACCTGGGTTTAACTGGTATTTTGAGCCTCATTTTATATAATTGGAGAAATTTGAGGTCAACAAGACTTTCTGAATAGGTGAGTGGGTGAAAGCTGGGTTACCACACAAACAGAGTATTATTACTAACAAATTTGATAATTCAGGCAATCAAGTGGTAGAATGTATTCCAAGGGAGACATTTATTTTAATATAAAACTTTGAAGCCTCTGTCACGTATCGGCTCAATAGTTTTAGGTCTTACTGTTAAAATTAACATTGCATTTTTCAGACAAGCAGCAAGTAAGATTAACTTGGGCAGGATTTGAACCAGAGACCTTAACTAGAATCTAAGACACTAAACTAGAGGTAATGCCTTTACCAAATAGGCTACCAAGTCTGTACCTGATGTGTTGATTTTTGGAAGTATGGCTTGATCTCATAAGCTCACAGAATTAAGATTCACACAGGCCAATATAGTTTTAAAGACCCTGTGGATTACAAGGTTTAAACACTTACTACTCAAGTCCTGAATCTACATTCATGGGCTGATTGGCAACTGGGGGTTTAATCACAGGAAGAACGACATGGGAAAAGGTTTCTCATTATCTGAAAAGGCTGTGCTATAAAAATTGGATTAGCATTTTTTTCTGCTTTTGTATAATTGCCCTTGTCAAATACACTGGTGATTTTTCAAGTTTAAAAATAACCTCTCTGTGCATTTCATTTAGAAAAAATTAAATATGGATATATATATTCTATTATGGTTTGAGATGAGGAAGTTTCACGTTTAGTATTATCACAAATTTGGATCAGATACCATTTTGTGCAGTTTTTTTTGGTTAAATAATATATATGGAAATATATATTTTTCATAAAGATCTACGATTTCCCCCTCCCCAGAAAAAAAACTCAGTTACCATTCATCTGTTTCACCTAAATTTTTTGATTTGAATCACCAAAGAGTCATGTATGATATATATTGTGTTTCTCAAAAAGCTTGGGAGATTTATATTTATTTATATTTAAGGTTGCTTGAGTATTTAGAATTGAATCCATCATATTTGCCAAGGGTTTCTTGTCCAAGTATATCTCAAAGGCTTGTAGCCAATTGACCCTCACAATTGAAACTGATTTGTATGAAATTTTGGACTCAAATTTACACCAACTCATATAAGGAATACAGATCAAACATTCATTTCTGAAAGGATTAAAAACATGAATTTCAAGTTGAATTTGAAGGAAATTCATGTATATTGGGTGGAGTAGATTACATGATAAATTTTGCTTTATCTATCACATCTTCTAAAATCTCCAAAAATCCATCATTCTAATACTCAGTTGGAGGTATTTATCATTATACTGAGAGACTATACTTCTTGATTATAATCAAACCATGGCTGCTTACCTGGCACTTGAATGCAAGTGCTTTCACATCAATTTCTTGAATAACCTGTTAGTAACTTCTGGGATGTTGGTCTGAAGTAGATTACACATCAGGTTGAACTCAGGATGAATTTTGTTGTAAATTTTGTTGTGATTTCAAGCTCAACAATAAACCTGATTCATTGCCCAAGTCAAGCTGTTATAAACAAATCCTATATATATTTTGCTCATTCAATTTTTGTTGAAATTATATTTGAATTACAAAAGACTGTGAAGTATCATAAGGAAAATGAGGTGATTCATGCTCAAGGACTTATGTTTTATCTTGAAATGATCATAACTCATATCAGCTATGGTCACCATTTTATGCCCTTGATATTCTTTTTGTATGTTATGATCACAATGAGAATGTGGATAAAAGCCTTGCTAGTGAGCCTCCATCAATTTCACAATCCAAGTCCAATATAACTGTGAAAAAAACCCTTGGAAAGACACCATTCAGCATCAACAGGCTCAATTAATCTTGACAACCCCAATCACAGAAGCAACAAAACCACCACAACTCTCCCAAAAAATAAAAATATGGTAGCCAAACACACTTTTGCATGTGTTTTAATCACCTGATTCAGCTCAGCAGCTTGGATCTCAACTAACCTGGCAGTTCAATTCATGATATTACTGCAGTGGGAAAGCTGAATAAGAAAATAAAACCTTGATTTGGGTGAGTTGGTGGCGGGTGGCTCTCTCAAACACCCACCCACAAACACACACACTAGAGCTTGGAAGGCCAACCAAATATCCTCTGCAATCCAATCCTCTCTTTTTTCTCCTTGGAAGATGAGACACTCCCGCTGCTACGCTCCCCTAAGCCTGGCTTCAAATCTTCCAAGGCTGTGTTGAGGTTTTGCCTTTGTGTTTTCTTAAATGACAGAGAGGAAACCCCTCTTCCCGCAGCTGGCATCTTGTCACCATAACATACGGCCATATGTTATGGTGACATACCCGACTTACAGCCCTCAGCACAGCAGTCAGTACAGAATCCCAACATGCTTTACATCCAAAGCACTGTGATTGCATCATAGCCAAGGGCTTTTCTTATCTTGGTGGAGGGTTTAATATTCTTTCAACATGACATCAAGACAATTTTCAACCAAGTTAGAAAAGATTTGCCATTGAACTTCAGAGGAAATCAACTGAACTTGGGACCAAGTTCACCAAAAATCAGGCTAAACTTGTGCACAACTCACCACCAACACACAACAGGTATCAGCTCAGTATATGACCAAGTTAAGAGCAAGATCTTGCACGCAAGTGCCATGGAAACAGCCCTGGTGTTAGGAATTCATATTGAGTGTCTTGTTGACAACTTTAAGTCCACCATAGAATTGATTTATTTATTTGATGGAGACATGGGATTTCTTATGAAGTATAAAACCAGTAGTAGTACATGAACCAAGGCTTGCAAATCCTGGAATACAAAAAAATACAAGACAAGGATCCCATTCTTTGTTCTTGCTTCAAAGAACTGATTTACATGGACAGCCAAGTTCCAGACAAAAAAGGGAGAAACATAAAAAAAAAAAAAGGATTATCAAGCAGCTGGTTCAGGAAGCCAAGAAATTTTGGTCATCATGGCCTGGCAGAATTCAGGGGCAAAGGCCCTGGGACAATGACCAATCTTATGGATTCCAGATTGAGCTTGATAATTGAGCTCTGACGCTGTAGCTCGTATATGGCAGAGCTGGGCGAGAGAATCAAATCCCAGATAAAATCTATTAAGCTCACAGTTTAAAAGTGTTGAAATATTCAAGCAAGTCAAAGATAAAAAAAAACCCGTACCTCATTGAAGGCCACACAAAATGGAAAAGGATCATTCTCTGGAGCCATTGCTGCCAGTGCAGATGCCTGAATTTTGGAAAGTTTGTATATCAGTACTCTTTCGGAATGGATGAGTGTGGTGGCAAACGCAAATATGAAAACTCACTCTGAGTACATTATACTCGATTTTCCCTTTCCCCCTGAGGAAATGAAGAGAATAGTGATCATGTTTGACAGCCTCAATTGCATTGTCAAATTGGCCGTCAATCCAAAACGTCCTCCCAGCAGCTTCACAGCTGATATGATTATCTCCCTCACGGTCATTATATGAAGGTTGCTTATATTGCTTGTAGCACTCCTGATTGGCGTCCAAGAAGTTTTTTTTTTTTTTTTTTTTTTTTTTTTTGGTTAGGCTTCATTCCTGATGTATAAGATGGATAGAATATCCTGAATGGATTGTGACATA